ACTATATTTTTACTTCTATGGGAGAGGATGATCTGTTGGCTTTTCGCTTTATATCAGTTTATTTCCTGCTTAGTTAAGTACGCAGCTTTATAGAGTCATCCAGGGCTTCTTCTGTGGCATCAGCTCTAACAAAGCTAGATCCGTCTCAGTCTACCACGCGGGGCTCTCACAGGTGCGCTCTAGTGGTTGCCCAGGTGTTGCCTGGAAACGTGAAATCAGACCCTGACCTGCTCCTGATTAAGTGAGACTCTTAGTCCTCAAACACTATCACATATAAGTAAGTGCTCAGTAGACAAAGAGAGGGAATTTTGTTTTCCCCCACTTTGGTATTTCGAGTACAACAATATCATTGCACGACAGTTTCTCAAGCTGTATCCTGTTCTGTAATGTTTTGAAAACTAGGGAGAACGCTCACCAAATAGGCCTTGAACTTAGACAGAGTCCAACAGTGTGCGGTTTCTGGGAAGGGGTTACCCGCTCCCCCGCTCCACAGCGACGTTTTCAGCGGTCCTCTCCGAAATTACTTACGTCATTGACAGATTTTGGGTATAATACTCTAGTGCTTTCATCTTTAAAGAAACACAGATTTTATTTTCTTTTATTTTTTAGTAATTAACAGCCGAGCTATACAGAAAAGACTTTTCCTCTGAACTGTTTCCAGGTCTAACACTGCAGTGGCCCTTAATTTTTTTCTTCTAACTTAAAAAATAGGAGTGGGGAGGAAGAAGGAATAGGTCTTTATTCATCCTCCCTGCCTTTTATAAATTACTTCATCCCTCTGTGTGACCTTGATTTGAATACATCCCTTTATCTTACTGAGCATCAACTTCCATCTGTGAGATTCTGTGACCGAGAAACGTCAGTATTGCTAGTAATACAGGCATTGGAGACCACGTGATGGTTTAGCTGCTGAAGACACTCAAGTGACCTTGGGCAGGTGGGAATCTACTCGGTAATTTCATTATGCCTTTGCATAAAAACAGTTTCATGCTTTTTCTTTTTAGTCTGATCTTAAAAACCGTCCTCTAGATTTGAAGTTTTAATTTTTTTTTTTATCCTCGCCCGAGGACATTTTTGCATTTATCTTTAGATTGAGGGGGGAAGAGAGAGAAACATTAATGTGAGAGAGACATATCGACTGGCTACCACCCACACAGCCCCAACCGGGGCCAGGGACAAATTGTGACCGAGACACGTGCCTTTAGCAGGAACCGAACCCGGGCCTCTCTGGTCCATGGGCTGACGCTGTAACCTCTGGCTGAAGTTTTAATTTAATGACCAAAAAGTTCAAGAGGGGAAAATGTATTGAAGACTGTCCCCTTATGTCATCATTTCGGTATGAAAGAAGAGATAAGCTTCATAAATATGTCCACAGCCCTGGCCAGTTTGGCTCAGTGGTTGGAGCGTCCGCCTGCAGACCAGAGAGTCCCAGGTTCGGTTCCCGCTAGGGGCATGTACCAATAATAATAATAATAATAATAAATACATGTGTCTATAGGTAACATATCTCTCTCTCTATAAGGGAGGAGATGGGAATGATGTAATAGGGGTTGGTTATATCCCAGAATGGGTGAAAGATGTTGATAAATGCTATGTCTTGTTGCCCTGAAGACTGTCAGTCAATCTTAAATTACTGCAAAGACGTACAAGTGGCTATAGAAGTTGCTTCAGTCCCTCACCAGTAGAGTCGATGTTCTGGTCCATTTGAGGAAGAGCATTGATCAGACAGCTAGTGGGCTTGTCCAAATAGTGTACCAAGATTTAGACCTTTTCCCTTGGAGAGAATGAGGTGGTCCGTGATGAATGGTTCTGTAGTTGTGACTAAGCTACTAATGGAAACATTAAATTATTTTAACCATTTACCTTATTTAATGGAAATCCTTCAGGTGTTTTCTCAAAGATGGATCCCTCCCCAGTTCTGCCTAAGCTAGCCACCCCTAGACGGTTCTACACTGATACCTTCTAGAGCCCGATGTCCCTATGAGAGGGAGCCTTGATAACTTCCAGAGATATATTCTCTGAGCTTAAATTTTACAACTTTTTAGCCTATAAATGGAGTCTTTATTCCTGAGGATCATACTTTGAAATTTTTCAAACGACTGTAGTAGTTAAAATGTCAATACCAAGTTGATGTTTGCCTCTGGGCGCCAATGTTAATAATGCATGGGTTCGTTATTTTGGTGAAAAGTGATATGTGCTAGGTTTAATTAATTGGATGAACTGGTTGCTTTAATTAATGTGTCTTAATGTGGACTCGCAGTATTTAGACAGACCAAACACAAGGCAATGTTCCTGCTATATTAGTTTGCTAGGTCTGCCATAATAAAATATCGCAGAATGGGTAACATAAATAATAGAAATTTATTTATTTTTATTAAAAAAATATATTTGCATTGATTTTGAGAGAAAGAGGAAGGGAGAGGGAGAGCGAGAGATAGCAATGCGAGAGGGAAACATTTATCAGCCGCCTCCTGCACGCCTCCTACCGGGGATTGAGCTGCAACCCGAGCATGCACCCTGACTGGGGATCGAACCGGCAACCTTTAGGTGCACGGGACAACACCCAACCAACTGAGCCACACTGGACAGGGCCAGAAAGTTTTTTCTCACAATCTGGAGGATGGAAAGTCCCAGATCAAGGTTTCTCTGAGGCCTCTCTTAGGCTTGCCAGTGGCCACCTTCATGGGTCTTGCCATTATGCTTATACATCACTAGTGTCTCTCTGTGAGTCCTAATGTCCTTTCTTAAGAACACCAGTCAGATTGGATTCTGGCCCACCCTGAAGGCCTTATTGTAACTTAATCACCTCTTTCAAAGCCCTCTCTTTGTATAGTTAGATTCTGGTATGCTGGGGTTAGGGCTTTGGCCTATGAATTTGGAGGAAACACAGTTCAGCCCATAACACCTGCCTTCATCAGTGACCAACTGAACACCAGGTTTAGGCCGGGAACCGTGAGGCTGTCTAACCAGGCTCCTGCGCCCACGTTGGAGGCTCTTCTGCATAAACATCGGAGGGCTGGGAGTTTCTCTGTAAAAGGAAGCCAGTTCCCACTGCCCTGCCCCGTTCCCAGCGCTGCCTTCTGGAGCTGCCTGGAACGGACTCACCTCCTTTTTCCGCGGCAGCCCTCTAAATATTTGAAAACATTTATCATGTCTTCCCTTTTATCTTTTCTTCTCTAGGCAAAACATCTCCAGAGTAAAGACGCTGTCTCACATTAAAAGAAAAATACCAGGGTTAATATATATATTTCAAATATGAATGTGCATGATGGAAGCTTGCCAAACATAGCTGGGTTTGTTTCAACATTCCTGCTCTTTAAGAATAGTTTCTTTCTCAAGCTCTATAAACAGTGAGAACAATTTAGTTTGCTTCACACCAAGGATGATTATGTGCCGAAAGAATCGGTTAGAGGAGATAAGTCCATTGATGGAGAATATATCAAAGAGACCCCTTATCAAGGATGTTGGTAAACAAGGCAATGCTAAATAGAATGAAGAAAATATCAATATATGTTGATATTTCTAATGCTGGAAATATCACTTACCCTTTTGGTACTTTAGTCACTATGATCATAAGCTCATAGCCTTACCCGACACAGTAGCGAGAATTAATAAGAGAATTCCCACTTTCCAAATAATTGTTCATTGTAAACGCCGTGGCAGGTTCACAGTCTCCAGCAGAATGGTCTCGGCAGAGCCAGGACGGGCACCTCAGCAGCCAGCCTCCTGCAGAGTCCCTGGGATTCACCTCCCCGGCTCCGTGGCCTCACTTGCTAAACCCCAAGGGTACTGTTTACAAAAATGCAACGTTTTCCTCGTGCTTGTCAAGTGTTGGCCCCAAACATTGCCCAGTTGTGTTCATTTGCATTCAGCGTTCAAACACAGGGTCCAGTGCGTGTCGTCTTGACCAGCGTATTACTGTTAGAATCTGATGCTGTTCTGAGACTCGGTCCCGGGACAGCAGACTCCCTCCTGTCCTCAGTCCCTGCAGGTTCTGTAGTGATGAATCCCACGTGAACCATTTATTCAGCGGGCTGGGTTCTCGTGACCGCTTTCCAGCCACTAATGCACGTGCTTCACTTCAGGGACGTTATTTTCGTCTTTTCCCTTCTTTATTCTCTTTTTGAAATTACCACTTTTCAGATTTTAGACTTTCTAGAATGGGCCTAATTGAAGCTTTTTTCCTCTATTTTTTATCTCTTTGAATTTGGCTCTGTGTTTTGGCTCAAGACTAGATTTAATTTTGTTACTATGTATGTTGTTGGTTGTTTTTTTTAATCCTCATTCAAGGACATTTTTCCATTTTTTGTTCAGATAGAGTGGGAGGGAGAGAGGAAGAGTGAGAGAGAAACATCGACGTGAGAGGGACACATCGAGTGGCTGCCTCCTGCACGGCCCTGACCCAACCAGGGCCGGGGACAAACTGCAACTGAGGTACGTGCCCTCAGTGGGAACCCGAGTCTCTCTGGACCGCAGGCCAATGCTCTAACCACTGAGCCAAACTGGCCAGGGCAGTTGGTTTTTTTATTACTATACTTTTTATTTCTAAGAACGGATTTTTGTTGTTGTTGTTCTAACGATCCTTTTTGAAGTATCCTATTTTTTCTTGGCTCTAATATCTTTTATCTCTCTGAGGATTTCTTTAAAAGTTTATTTTTCTGCATAGCCTCTTTAAGAGTTGGTGGGAAAAAAAATAGATTTGAATATGTTAACTCAAATTATGAGACAATGAAAAAGACAGCTGTACCATTTATTGTTGCTTAAGAACTGAAGTCAAACCACGTGACCTTCATGTAGTGGCCACACCAGAGAGGATGCCTGTGTGGGCATCTCAGTGACAGGGAGCTGGGAGGGCTTTTATAGGGTTTGAGTTTGTGCTTCTGAGAAAACAAAGGACAAACTCTGGATTGGACACTGAAGAAGTTTGGGCAAGTCTGCGGTTGGTACGGTGGTCCTTTCTGTCCAGGAGTCGGGAGGCTAAATTGTCATTGGGAAAGAAGTTAGCAGGAAGAGGAGAGATGTTCAGTGTTGTCTGTAGGTTTAGATAGAGCTGTACTCTGGCCATACGTGTCTGTTGAACACTTGAGATGTGACTAGTTCTGTTAGAGATGTGCTCTACTTGGGATTTGAAGACTTAGTACAAAAAAGAATGTAAAATTAGCCTGGCCGGTGTGGCTCAGTGGATTGAGCATTGTCCCATGGACTGAGAGATCCCAGTTCAATTCCCGGTCAGGGCACAGGCCTGGGTTGTGGGCTTCATCCACAGCGAGGGGTGTGCAGGAGGCAGCTGACTGTGTTTCTCTCTCACGTCGATGTTTCTATCTCTCACTTCCCCCCATCCTTTCTCTCTAAAAAAAATCAATAAAAATATATTTTAAAAAAAGAATGTAAAGTTAATACTTTTCCCCCTTGTGTACATGTTGACATAACATTACGAATATATTAGGAGGAAGCAAAATGTATTAAAATGAACCACAAGTGGAGCTTGCTTAGGGGCTCACACTATATTTCAGGTGGTGAGCTGCGGCGTGTAGTGGGGTTGGACAGCTGGTCACCATTGTCCAGGTCTGTCCCTGCAGCTTGCCCCTCCCTCCTTCCCACTCCTTTTGGTTAAGATTTCAGACACATCAAAGACTGTTCCTCTTTTTTCTGGAAAAGCTAGTGACTCAGGTTGATTACTTCTGGCACAAGATGATAACTTCTCTTATTAGGGTGCATTTCTGAGAAATTGATGGTAAAGGCACATGCTTGCTGTTTATAGAGTATTTTTCAAAAGCTTCTTTAAAATGCAGCTTACTGCCCTGGCCGGGTTAGAGCATCGGCCCTTGGACCAAAGAGTTGTGGGTTCAATTCCAGTCAAGGGCACATACCTCAGTTGCGGTTCATTCCCACCCTGGTTGGGGTTGTGCGGGAGGCAACTGGTTGATGTGTCCCTCTCATGTGGATGTTTCTCTCTCCCTCCCTTCCTCCCACTTTATCTGAAGATAAATAGAAAAATATCCTCTGGTGAGGATTAAAAAAAAGTAAAATGCGGCTTACCTATATTTAAAGCAGTATTTCTCAACCTTCATTTCACAATTACTCCCCTACATAGTCTCCTGAGACTTTTATTTTTCCTAATTGCCTCCCCTTAAATATATATATCTAGATTTTAATTGGTTTTCAGAGAGAGAGGAAGGGAGAGGGAGAGAGAAAAATGATAAGACAGACCCATCGAGCGGCCGCCCCCACAGCCCCCATCAGGGATGGAGCTGGAATCCTGGGCATGTGCCCTGACCAAGAATGGAACCAGCAACCCCCATGCAGGGAACGACGCTCCGCCACCTGGGCCTCACCAGCCAGGGACCCCCCTAAAATTTTAACAGCACAGAGATACTGTATATCAGTTTATGTTATTTATCTATATCTGTGTTTCATACATAAAGGGTTAACCTTTTTTAGCCTCCTCCCTAGGAAGCAATTTTCACCCGCTGGGGACAACTGTTGCCCACATTAAGAATGCATGATTTACATGCCGATGAGGATGTGTAAAAACTGGCATTTTCATCCACCGAAGGAGTAAATGATACAATTTTTCTGGGAAAGCAAATTTTTGATGAGTAAGAGCCTTAAGATGTTTTTTGATTTTGTATTCTCACTTTTGACAGTCTGTCTTAAATGCAAAGATTTTTGCCATGTAACCTATAATAGCATAGGAGTAGCAAAGCCAAACAACATGGAAATGGTTAAATGGAAGAACGAGTCATTAAAAACTGAAAACAAAATGCATGATTTAAAAAAAGCACAATAGCTAAAATATATTCTGCTTCTAGAAAATACTCAGTAGTGCTATTCCGGTACAAATTTGGTATGAACGTAGGTTTTTATTTCTCTTGGGTATCTATCTAGCGGTGGAATTGCTGGGTCATGTGCATAGAGTTAACCTTTATTTGCACCTCAGAATAACATTAGCATCGGTGGGATATTTATTCTCCCATCAGCTGAAGCCCAGAGGTTTGCCCTTGGCCACACAGCTATCAGGAGAGCCAGAACTAGAAGCCAGCTTTTCAGACTTTGGAGTGCTCTTCCACCACAGGTGTTCAGTCTTTCGATGTACAGAGCACTCAAACATGGGGCACTTGGGGTAGATCTGATTCCTGTTCATGTATCTGACCAAATCTGGTAGTGAAACAAATTTTTTCTTATTGCATAGTTGTTGTTTTTTTAATGTTTTTATTGATTTTTATTTTAGAGGGAGAGGAAGAGAGAGAGAGACGTAGAAACATCAACGTGAGAGATACATTGATTGGCTGCCTCCTGCACACCCCCACTGGGGATGGAGCCCAAAACCCAGGCTTGTGCCCTGACTGGGAATTGAACCAGGACCTCTCAGCCCATGGGACGATGCTCAATCCACTGAGTCACACGGGCTGGGCTTATTGCATAATTTAAAAAAGATCACACTTTGACTTTAATTGATTTCAGCTTGCTAATATTGATGTCCATGATTGGAGAGTTTGAGATCATGGTTTAGACCACCTGCATTTTATTTATTTTTTTTTTTGGGGGGGGGTACATGCCCCTAGCAGGAATCGAACCTGGGACTCTCTGGTCCACAGACCGACACTCCAACTGCTGAGCCAAACTGGCCAGGGTTCACTAGCAACAGTTTTTTAAAATAAATTTTTTAGTTATTTTTTTGTTACAGATATTTTACCTTTTTTTACCCCATTGGCACCCCCCACCCCACCCCACCTCCGCCCCGTCCCCGGCTTAGTTGTCCATGTCCATTGGCATGCATACATGCATATAAGTTCTGTGGTTTATCTCCCCCCCCACCCCCTCTTCTGAGGGATGTCAGTCTGTGCCCTACTTCCATGTTTCTGGGTCTACTGTATTCCTCAGACTGTTATGTTCATTATATTCCATATATAAGTGAGATCATGTGGTATTTGTCTTTTTCTGCTTGGCTTCTTTCACTTAGGATAATACTTTCCAGGTCCCTCCATGTCATCTCAAAGGATAAGAGATCTTTCTTTCTTACCGCTGCATAGTACTCCATTATGTATATGTACCACAGCTTTTTTATCCATTCGTCTACTGGTGGACACTTGGGCTGTTTCCAGATCTTAGCTATTGTAAATAGTGCTGCTATGAACATGGGGGTACATATATTCTTTCTGATTGGTGTTTCAGGCTTCTTAGGGTATATTCCTAGCAATGGGATCACTGGGTCAAATGGAAGTTCAATTTTTAATTTTTTGAGGTATAGCAACAGATTTTAATGTTCATCCATGTTATAGCATGTATAGCTTGTCTGGCTACTTCATTCTTTTTCATTCTGAATAATGGTCCAGTGTATGGGTATGCCAAGTTTGTTTATCCATGCATTGGGTGATGGACATTGGGTTGCATCTGCTTTTTGGCTACTATCAATAATGCTGCTATTCATATTCCTGTACAAATTTTGTATGAACGTAGGTTTTTATTTCTCTTGGGCATCTATCTAGCGGTGGAATTGCTGGGTCATGTGCAAATCTGTGTTGAACGTTTTGAGGAACTGCCAGACTGTTTTCAAACCTGCACCATTTTACATTCCCTCCTACCACATATGAGGGTTCCAGTTTGTCCATTCCTTGTTATTGTCCATCTTCTTGGTTATAACTATTCTGGTGGGTGGGAGTGGTATCTCGTGGTGGCTTTGATTTGCCTTTCCATAGTGGTTGATGATGTTGAGCATCTTTTTTATATGCTCATTGGTTATTTGTATATCTACTTTAGAAAAATATCCACTCAGATTCTTTGACCAGTTTTTAATTGGGGTACTGTATGCATTACAAAGTTTTAAAGATGTCATTCAAAACCCTTTGTAATCTGGCCTCAAATGTAATATTTATCTCATGTCCAGTTATCACCTCTGTCTCTCCACCCTTTCTTCCCCATGTCTCCCCAAGTAGACTCTGAACTTGTAGCTATAAGAAACTCACGACTCCCTAAACGTCATGATTTTCATGCCTTTGCCCATGCTGCTTCCTCTGGGACCCTGGCAGGGTGCCCCCTGCATCCGCCCAGGGGCTAGCTCAGAAGTTATGAGGTGTGTACACTTCTACCTCTGGGTGTGTCTGCCACCCAAGACAACTCCCTGGGGCCAAAGACAGTATCCATTTGTATCCCTCGGTACTTAGCTTTATTAACAAAAAGCAAGAAATTGGTAAATACTTGTTGAATGAACCATGGAGTTTTGGGAAAATACATTTTGTCATCTACCTATTTATGTTATTGGTAAACAGCTTCCCATAACTTTTGCCTTGGGTGATGATATCATCCTCTAAAAGTTCTGATTTAACAACAAGAAGAAAACAGGGAATGGAAGTGGTCGTAAAGAAAGTTGCATTCCTTGGATGTACGCTTACCTTAGGTGTGATCTTTACTCCTGCGTTTATCCTGATTGACGGCGTTTCTGTCGAGCCAGACACGGGCCGAGGGAGCAGCCGTGCCATACCGTGGTAGATCACCGTGGTAGATCACCTTGGTAGATCACTCTTAGAGGCGGAGAACAAAGACTGCCTGCTAAGTGAGTCAGCAGCTTTCCACACGACCTCTTGAAGAATATCAAATCAGCTGTGTTAGTCTTGACTAATGTCATAAAAAGAAATTAAAAGTTTAAGTGGCAAAACTGAACAGCAATACATTTATGTCTTTAAATGTTGTTTTGGGCCTAAACTTTGTAACTAGTGAAGTTTCTTCCATCCAGCTCAGAGAAACAGCTGTTGCTCATCCTATTGACAGAAGTTACACTTTGGGGATCAAAAGGAGCTGGTGGCACAGCTAAGCAAGGTCACAATGAATGGGTGCACCCATAAGTTGAACGTGTGTATTTCACAGGTGGCACCAAATGAAAGCCATGTGCCGTCCCCAACAGCTGGTGTTGAGAAATTTAGAACCGAGACCTCAGATCGATTCTGGAGGTAGCCAGGGCTCCTGGGACAACTCTGGAGAGGGGTGTGCACGTCACCTGGGGATACGGTGCGTAGGCTGATCCTCAGGC